ACTTATATACATTATATATACACCCACATATTATATATTTAAATATATACTTACATAAAATGCATACCATATATAAGTATATATATGCTATATATATATATATATATATATATATATATATATGCACATATATTTTTTTAAATGGAACTTTAATAGATACCAATTAAATGTGGCTTACTTGCTTGCTGTTTGGTTCATGTTGAACAAATAATTTTTAAATACAAGTTTAAAAATCAATGCCATATCTGATTTGACTGAGCACTAATTTCCTTATTATTTATTAATCAGCCCTGTCAAGAACCTCTTTCCAAGACCTGAAATATGCAAATTGGTCTTGCATAGGCTTGTCAATACTTCCAATGATATCTGTGAAGAACACAGAGGTACTGATGGAGGCCATATCATGTGTGCACTCTACTCTAAGAGACTAAGTAGCTAGAAGGACAAGTAGCCATTCTGCCACTTACTGGGTGGTTATTCATTGCCAGGTACTATGCTCAGTGCTTTTCTTGCCTCACTCCCTTTAATCCTCACAGGAGAGCTACGAGTAGGTACTGCTCCATTTCACAGATGTCAAAGTTGACTCTGAGAGGTGCTGGCTCGGAAGTGCACAGTGATTAGGTGGCTGAGCCAGGTCTGAGACCAATGCTCAGATACTGAACCGCCCCACTATCCTCCCACAGGGTGATAAGCCTGTCTCTACCCTAAAACTGCTCACTAGCGGCTGGAGGGCAAATTCATGTGAACTGGCCTGAGCAAATGAAAGACACTGAATGCTTCCATATTCTTTAATTTGGGCCTTTAAGTGGGGAGATGAACGTTATGGGCTTTTCAGAGAAACATATGAAAAGAAACATTTCATTGCTAAGTTAGGTGACACTAATTAATTATAAGCAACTAGTAGAGGCTTCCTGTAATTGCTCACGACACCATCTTTTCACATTTCTGGGACTTCGTAGGCTCTGTTCCCACTGCCTTGAATGCCTCCCCCTCAATCTTGCCTTCTTGATTGTCAGGCAAATATACTTGCTCCCTGAATGTCAGGAAAATCTTTTTCCAAATCCATTTTCATTTGGTTATTTTGCTTTTCTAAGAATATTCAGTAGCTCCCTCTTGCCTCCAGAATAAACCATAAGTCTGTGAGAAGTAGAAATAGCTATAGGGGGTGAGGGACAAATATGACTGCTTGATTGGCCTTCTTCTAACAAAGGTCAGTGAGAAGAAGGTTAATGAGAGGCAAGGGACAGGAATCATGGGGGTGCTGCATTGCCCAAATGGCCCCAGGTCACTACTCGCCTAGGTCCACGCCCTTGGCAGTGTGATTTCTTGCTCCTCCCATGAAGAGGTAGAACATATTCCCCCCCTCCCTTGAATCTGGCTGGCCTTGTGACTTATTTTAGTCAAAAACATGAGGTGAAAATGATGAGCTTAGCTCTCAAAAGGACTTGCAATTTCTCTTCTTTCTCTTGAAACCCTGACGAGGTGCCATGTGGACAAGCCCAGGCTCACTTATTGGATGATGAAAAACATGCAACCCATTGTGCCTGTCACCCCAGGTGACAGCCACCCATCCTCCAGACATGTGAGAGAGGCTGTCCTAAACCAGACATGTGAATGAGCCTGGCCAAAAAGCTGAGCCTGGTCCAGATCAACAGGACTGTTTAGCTGATCTATAGACTTGTGAGCAACAGTTAATGCTTATTGTTTTAAGCCACTAAGCTTTGAGATGATTTGTTATGTAGCATTATTTGGCAATAGACAACTGATATTATGGATAAGTAATGCTAGAGGGACAACCTATGGTTAACCTGTGGGACAAGGGGGTTAAAATCTAGATTGTCATGATGACTGTACTGGGCCTACACCAAATAGCTGCAGTGGTTGCAGAGGTATCCAAGTGAAAACCTGAGGCCCCTTGTGATCTCCAGAGAGAGTGCAGACACGCCCCTTCTTTCCACATTGCTGGCCTTCCACTAGAGCGATTAGTCATTCCTCTTATCCTTTCCAGTCAAAAGCATGTCTTTCTCTATGTGCTCCATTCAAGGCATAGAGTAAGATATATTGGGCAATGTGAATGCAGGTCTCATTTTTTACCTACTATGGGATGGGCACTGCTGAGCGTGTTGCATGCATAACTTTATTTAATCCTCACAACAAACTATTATTATCCCCATTTTAGAAAAGGAGAAATTCAGCCATAGAGATATTAAGTCACTTCTCAATCAGGAAGCAGAACTAGAATTCAAACTCAGGTCTGCTGCTTCCAAACCCCTTCTCTTAACCATGACACTTGACTGTTATCT